AAATTTAAATATTGGTTTCAAAAACTTGTTATTAATCATTTTTAGCCTTTTAAAAAGGGCAATTGTATGGTTTTTTTTTCATTTAAACACAAATACATCGTTTGTGCGTAAGAAAAATTATAAAAAAATAAGAAAATTATTCCTTTAAAATTATCCTTTGATTTATTATTAATAGTTATACATAAAAACCTAAGTAGGCGAAAATAGGCTATGGACAACAACACTTACATTATATATGTAGAACCACTTGTTTTTTAAGTGCTTAAATAACAATAAAATTCGTTGTCCTTAAGTGCAACTGATTAATTTATTTACATTACTATAATGATAACAACTAATAAGTATACCTTTTATGTAACTTATATTTATGTTTTCAATTGGGTTCATAAATTTAAAAAATTTGAGTATTTTCTTTAGTTTTGGCTGAGAACATCATTGCTAGTTGTGACTTATTCTTACTAATTTGTATACATTCAAATACATAGAAAATAAATTATGTTAAGTAAACGGGATTAACACATATTTTGTGTTTGACATTTATTTGTGTTGTAATAATTGCTCGACAATTTTAGAGAAATATTTGCTGTCAACTAGTTGAAATTATACAACTTACATTTTAGCCTTACATTTAAAACTAAAAATTGTTGTTAACTTGATGTTTAAAATGGTAATTTTAATGATATATTAAAATACGTTGTTATAAAAGTGAAATTAATTAAAAAATATATATTTTTTCCCTTACTTTTATGAATTAATATTGTTTGATGAAACAGAGCAAGTAACCGAATAAAACTATAACCATATACTCGTACATAGTATTACCATAGGATGAATTATACTATTTACAGATACATTAATATTAAGTTGCTATAGGTTAAATTTCAAAGTATATGTCAATTTTTATTTTTTTCAATGATTTTGTTATCATAACATAACTCGAATAATTTGATTAGTGGTTTATTCTAATGAATGTGGTTACTCGAATAATTAATTTTTTTTTTCTCAATTGAATGATGGCTTAAACTGGTCGCAGGTACCGAATATTATATGTACAATGGATGTACCTCGCGGAGATCCTGTACTGCGATAATATTATTAACAACTTGTCAGACTATTAAAATGTCATTAATTTAAGTATAATAATAATAATAATTGTGATGTCAATTTGAAGAAGAGTGTAAACAAAAGTGTCGAATGGCGCGTGCGCACAATGCACTCTAACATACTGCTATATAGTTAATGCAACCCACTTTCGTGTGATAAGTCCTGCCGGCTTAAGTTTGATGCTTAGCTACCGCTACGCCACACCAGCAGTATGTTGACTACTTTCCTATTAAAAACACTCGACTCGCTCGAACGAAGTCTGTCTGAATAGGGGTTTTCGTTTTAAGATTATAATAATTTTTTTTTTTTTTTAGTTCATTGTTTTTATATTTTAAACATGTGTAATTTGTTAGATTTTTTTAATTTTGTCATCTACTACGATGTCTGAGGTACCATTTTGTCTGTAAAAAAAAGGTATATTATTATATTTTATTCTATTATAGTTAATCATTTTATATATATATATATATATGCACACAAAGAAAACTATTGGCCGATTTTTTGTAAACAATGTGTTACTAGTACGGTAAAACATTTTTTTAAGAATTATTATTGAACATTATTGTAGTTTATTATAACTATAACACAATCAGCGTGTGTTTGAAGTTCAGTGGCCACGGGTCAAAGAAAGTGATAGCTCCAAAATATTTAATCTGTTACATATTTAATTATGTACAATTTAATCTGTTTTTTGTTATCAATATTTTATTAATAAATTTAAAATAACGTCATTCGGTAACAATGGTTTAGCGATTGCGTTTTTAATTAAAATAGGTATACTTTATTTTTTTACATTAGGTGTTTGGAACTGGGAAACTTGAAAGAATTATTATTTATCATAAAGTTAAAAGTTATACCTCTGGGTATAGATTAAAACAATTTTGATAGTATTTGTAGATAGAATATGGTTGTCAATTTGAATAAAATTTCAGCTAATGTTCTTAAAGTTTGTTAGAATAGAAAAAAAAGTGTTAGATAATTTTTTAAAGTGACCCATGGATTTTTTTTTAAAAATATAATCGCTTTGGCCTATGCGGGTTTGAGTCTGTAATATTGAAACTAATATGCTATAGGGTCAGTTGCGGGGTAATTGTTATAATTTAGACAAATTCTTTAAGTGCAGTTAAATTTAATAAAAGAATCATCGGTTGTTTGGTAAATTGGTTGAACAATTTTATTCATATGGTGTTAAAGTATTAATAAAGTACATAAATTGTTACAAAAATTACATAGTTTTTAATAAAATCAATAAGAAATAATATTTATTAGCAACATAGTTTTCCTGTAACAGATATTTAAATTAAATTTGCCCATTTGTTTATACATATATAATACTTATATATGCTATAATACTATATGCTAATACTTATATATTTATACATATACCACTTTACTATACTAATATACTAAGTAGTATAGATTGTATACGCAAAAATAAAGTACATTATGTAATATATAGTGACAATATCGTAGTCTAATAACATTCATCAGAATTTTAAATTATTTAAATGCTATATCGTTTACTAAACCAAATACCGTTTGTGAAATAAATAACATAAATTTATAAGTACTTGCCTTGATCAATTAAGTGCCTAGATCAACAGTGTATATAAATTACGTTTATTTCATCTGCGCACATGGCTAACAATTATAGTTACTATCATCAAACATATAAAACGGGTTTGAATTCAAATAAATCCTCAATGGGTCGTCCATTGCTTTACATTATATAGACCAACGGTTGGTAGTAAATTTGATAATTATTACATTAGCAACAGGATCTTGTGTTCAAAATCAAACATAATTTCTTCAAACTGTGCCGCAAACACCTGAGCGATATCATATGTTTAAAACTCGGCTAGACTGGGAGAAATTTTAAGTTAAAAGATTGAAAAGTTTACTAACTTAATTTAATTTAAGATCTCAATCGGGTTTTAAGTAATCACGATAATATTAACTATAGTATATAATTCTCTTTAGACATTAAATGCAAAAAAATATATTTATATCCTACTCTTATTGAGTGTTAAATTTTCGGACGTCACGTGGTCGCCTACGTTCAAAATTACTAAATATTTACCCCTTATTGATAAAGATGAATCTACTAAAATTTTTTTTTTTTGGGGTTTGTGGTAGGATTCTGTTCAGTGTTCTAATTAAAAATGACCATTTCGATTAAAAAACACACCCTCGAATTAAAATGTATGAAAGTTTAAGCATTTTTTCTTTCAAAAATAATACTAAAGAGTATTTCAATACGATTACTATTACACCAGGTACGACGGTGTTACATAATAATAATATCTTAAAATAAATAAATATTATACAGGTAGAACAACACCTAGAAATAAACTGATTTCTTGATTTAACAGTGATTTTACTATTATTATGAAATACAAAAAAAAAAAGACATAAAATAATTATAACAGTCCGCTGTTTTTTTTTTTAAATAATATATTTTTAATTACTAGGTGATCATAATAAACGGCTATTGTGATTGATAGAAATGCAGTTTTACGGTGTACGCGTTTGTCAAGATAGATAGATTAGCCTAACTCGGTGTAGAGCTTTCAGTGTGTGTTGCAACTGTGTCAAACCGGTCTGCATGCGAATAGAAATCCGCTGTTGGCTGTAGCTAATATTAATAAGTACTCATAAATCGTACATTTCTATGTAGGTGAAATAATATAATATACAATATTGTAATTATCAAAAAAAGGTCACCCATTATAATATTTACTCGAGTAAGTTTTCTTCATTAGCGTCTTCGTGACTTATTTAAACAAAAATAAAACGTTCCTAGATGTTGTTGTTTGCATAAGCGTTTTGTTTGGTCCGAAGACGGTGTGTGTGTATATGTACTCATAAACGTGTTAAATTGTTTTTTTTAATCGGGCAAGGTCGACGTTTTCTTTTTGCGAAAATATTTGTTTTACGCGTTCAAATTTGATAAGACAAAAAAAAAAAATGAATAATACAATTTTAAAAAAAGTCGAAACGACGGTGGACCGTGTACGATTTTAAATGATAAATATGCATTCTTTTGTCGGCGCTATAATATATTGATAGTAATTATTAGAGAAGGCGTTTTCCTTTATTTAATAGTAAAACAGTTTGACTATAGAGACGTGCAGCTGTGATAATAGTTTTAGACTAATAGACTGTAGATATCATTAGCAATAGATAAGTATTATAATAGTAATAATTATAATTAGTATCATGCGCAACCGCCAGGAAGTGAAAGTGCGCCTACTGTGTGGCCGAAACAATAACTTGAGAATATAATATTATCTATATACTATAATAATATAATATTATACAGTATACTTAAATAACAAAACTAAGAACCTGTCAAATTTAATGAGTTCATTTATGAGCAATTTTGCAATTAACATTTTTTTTCTTTTTTTGTGAGTTAAGTAAACAGAATAAAATGAAGTGCTTTATATTGTAACTTCCCGGCTTGGTTTATGGAAAATTATAATTTTTTTCTACAAAATTATGTAATTATGTATTATTCGGCTATTGTTGATAGGTGCCGTTTAGAAAGTTTACACCGTTTCGGTGTGAAATTTACAGTATACAATGTATAATATCATATAAATCATACATATATACCTATATTTATTATAATAATGGCTATTGGTTTTCGGTTCACACAAAGCACCGATGTCTCATTTTAAGTCTGTGGATCATTAGTTTTGTTTGGCTTATCGTTTTGAGTTGATCTAACGCGGTGTGCGAAACAGTAGGTACAGCTATAAGTATAATACTGATAATAATATTGTTTGTTACAAAGAAAAACAATTAGGAGAGGGGACAGGTCGTTTATAACTAACGAGATGAGAAGATGAACTTACAGTCATCTGTATAAATGTGCAATAGTTGAATTATTATTGCCTCGCTCCGTTCCGATACCGGCCGCGTTTCCTGTGCGGTTTTCCTTTGAGAAAAAAAGTGTTTTTTATTATTTCTATTATGTATCTATAAAAAAAAAAAATAGGTATATAAGTCTATTTTGTCCAAACCAGTTACGTTCGTATGAATTGTGCGACCCGGGAAAGAGTATTGTTAAAATGCCTAAGAACCAGACGGGGTCTAAGTAATAGTCGTATATGTCCAGTAACCACAGCTGTTGCAGGCATCAAAACAATTATCTATAACGGAATTTAAATTTATCATTTTCAAAACGGTAACATTTTTCGTTGTCCTTTTAATGTACATCCTTAATACCGGATAATGGAGAGTTCAATAATACAGTAGTCATACGGTGTGTACATAGATACCATGACTGCAATATTCATTAAGTTAGATTAGGTTTGTTGGTCGTTCACAATACAATAGGTACTTTCTTATCCGTACTTTTATATTTTACTAGAACTGAGAACCGATATTGAACTAGTAATGAAAATTAGCTTTCCAAAACCGCTAAAACCCTGCCGTTGCTAACATATTGAAAAACATAGTGTGGGGACTTTAAAAATTAATATAAAAAATCTATTAGTATCATACATCCAGCGGATAATTATTTTCCAGAAGCATAATACATTTGGGTAAAATGTAGTAGTAATATGATAATAAGTAATAACTTATTTCTCTACCAGAGACCGAAACATCTTAAATTTATTAAAGTTTTTTTTTTTTTAATAAATCCAATAGTAATAATAATTGTATATGTTGAACAGTATTACTATCGAAGGCGGTCGTTATGTTGTCACTTCCGGCAAAGTCGTTGACTGTTGGTCTTTTGGCACTAACACTTGTAGCGTGTGTCGATGCCGTGGGCATTCTCTATCCAAGGGAATCTGAGTCTCGAGAAGTCAAGTCGTTGGACGGCATGTGGAATTTTCGACTGTCCGAACCAGACTCGTTGATCGGGTTCAAAGAACGTTGGTACATGAAAGACTTAAGCAAGGTATAGTACAGCTAGATCTAATTAAAAAACGATAATTTAAAAATGTATCTTCGACGATCAATTGGACGTTTGTAAAATATTAAGAACAATGTATTACTTTCTTTATATCATGCCATTTTTTCGACACTACAACGGTTAAGTCAGAATCAGCACTAACTATACAATTAACCATTTGTCCGAATCAAAATTATTTAAAAACACAAAAATCGTTAAAACGCGTCTTAATATATTGGATTTTTCTAAGCTTCGGATTGACCTTAAAAATGGTCGTCTTACAAGGAAATTATGGACATTAAAATATTTGTAGTATTTTTTCTGTAAAACATTTTTTTACATAGGTTTACTATCTACTATTATCTGCTAAAACAGCCGTAGATTATATGAAAAAATGCAATAATGTTTTGGACAAATTAGTTTTCAAGAATAATATAACATACCCTGGTATATCTTTTATTTATTAAATAAAAATAAAAATTAGAGCCAGTAAATGTTGAAACTTTAATTTCAAATCGATCCGTCTCAATACCAAGTAGATACATTTTGTAATTAATAGAGTTGCCACTCAAAAGAAGAATTGGTCCAGTATTAAAAAAGTTACAATGTATACAGCTTACAAAAAAGTTCATATGCGATTGCAAAAAACATATACCAATTGTGCTCTACATTCGTTGTCATACAATGACTCTATCAATTAAAAAAACGCTCAATTCGCTTCGAATTCTACTACAAAAAAGTAAACGTTTATTATTGCGGTGACACCAAAGTGTTAAGTTTGGTCAGACCAATCAGTCGGCTTCATTCTTAAGGCCAAAATGCGCCATTTATAAATATTCCAACCTTTATCGCAGTGGTGGGGGGGGGTTGTCAAAATTTCGGCTTTTCCGTGTGCGATTTTGTTGATAGCACATTTTATATTGGAAATGCTAAGGTTATAATAAATCGAAAATATTTTCAAAAAACCATAAAATTTCGGCACTTTTGCACACATGAGAATGTCTGAGTACATTTTTTTTCCATCGATAAATATTCATACATTTTAGGCAGAAAAAAACGTCGTTCTAACGACAAAAACAATGTATAAAATTGTCAATGTTTGAATTTCCAATTTTTTTTTTTTTGTTTTCTTTTGCACATCTTAGTGTTACTTTTTACACGTTGAAAATCCGAAGGTCATAGCAAATCGTCGAACTTGAAAATGTTATCGAATCGGATACACTATTAACAGCGCACATAGATATTGTATTATTGTACGACTACTGTCTGTAATAGTCCGTAAAACAAATAGTAACCTAACCTTAAGTATGGCTATCGACGGAAATTCACAAGGGAAAAAGCCATTAAAATTGGGGTCGGGACTTAAGTTGGACCGAACTGACTGAATGTGATAAAATCACTTTTAAAAAATGTCATTAAAACCTAATACTTATGCTTGGGCACTCAAAACTTACCGGGGCCACTCTAAATAGTATCCGTTAAAATATTGGCATGATTTGATAATTTTTTTTTAAACATTTAACATCTTCGAAAAACAGTTTTCCGGCAATTAAAATAAAAATGTACTCCCGAATTTTTTTATTTGTCTAATATGTTATGGATACTCATATTATTATGAGTTCTGACTTCTGAAAAATGTTTTCACTAATATTACCTTATAATTACGGCTAAAAACACAAAAAACTTTGCACCCCTAAAAAAGTAGCAGTCTATACAGACAAAAAAAAACCATACGTGCGTACTGGTTTTTTTAATTAAATTATTGTTTACTGAATTCTTGCCTAAGCGTTTACTCGAAAACATAATTCTTTTACTTTAGAAAAACACTTGTGTGATTCGATGTGCGTTTAAATTTTGCACTGTTTGCATAAATGAAATGCAGTGCTCGTTTGTGTTAAAAATATTATACAAAGCCAAAAGACTGTGTCTATTTTTTAGATACCTATGTTAAACTTGCATTTTAATAACGGTGTACGGCAAATACTCATGGTCTTTAGAATTTCAAGGCCAACATGACTTGTTGACGATTTTTTTGAAGTTATGATAAAGCCACCAATGTGAATAATTTTTTATTTTTACCATACAATGATATTTCAAGGCCATTGTGATTTTTCCGCCCTTGAGTAACAGGATTTAGGGAGATGTGATTTTGGAATCTCTTATAGCAACCTGTATATTAATTTAGTTATGCTTGTTAAGCTATTTTTTTGGTAAAAGAGAATTTGACTGAACTTTGAAGTTTTTAACGTCAATCAAAAGCTACCCGCAGCCTTTTGAAATATTTAAAAACAAATGAGATTTCTACAATAGCCGTAAAGCATTTGAAAGACTTTAAATCAATTAGTTAGATAAATTGGATTATTATAATTTTTATATAAATATCCACTGTTGAATTAATAGGTTTGGGTTGAACGTCGGTTTGTCGTTAGCTTCGTTTTTAATAGTTGTTTAAAACTAATTTTTTTTCTCGTTTTAATTTACTAAAATATACAAATATAAAAAAAAAAGATGGACATCGTATAATATATTTTTTTTAATTCCATCAAAATCTTGAAACTGTACAACCACTGAAGGAAAAAATAGGACAGTTGTTTAGTATTAGTTTTATTTATTCCGTCCAACGGCAGTGTCTAATGAAGCCATAGGTATAATAATTATTATATTGTTTCTCATTTTTATGGCGACTAAATAATTTATGTTATTTTTTAATATAAATTGACAACTACGGCAATGATTTCTTCATGACCTTTTCAACACAACCGCGGTTCTAAAAGATCATCAATGCTTATGGATTTTTCAGAAACGTTTGAAATAAAACTTCTAAAAACATGACCCACAACATAGGTGAAACAGCGCGGGATAAATGTTTCGGACCTACCTTGAAATATTGGTATAACAGTTTTAAACATTTACTTTTATTATTGAAATGGTTTTTTTTCCCATACTTTTGGGTACATATTTTTCTACATTTTTCAATATTTAGTGTTACGTATCAGGAGTTTATATAAATATATATGATGGAGATTAATAGTATCATTCTGCATAGATCTACACAAAATTGTTGTAATGATTTGATAATTTTTTTTTTAAGATTTTAGGTGTTTTTGTTAAAATATACGCAATCTGCGAAAACACAGTTTTCCGGCAATTAAAAAAAAAACTGTAGTGCCGAATTTGTTTTTCGTTTAATATGTTATGAATACATATGAGTTCTAACTACTGGCAAATTTTCAACTCAAAGGTCTTAAAATTACGGCTAAAAACCCCAAAAAACAAAAAAACTTGTACCCCTAGGGGGTGGGAAATGGGTTTAATTTAAATTTGATACAACCGACGTGCGGGCATACCAAATAAATATTTCTTATAAATATCAACTCGATCCGACTTTTTTTCTCGAAATTATAGCCAGTAAAATGTTTAACTTAAAAAACTCGTACCGTTTTTTTTTTTTTTTTCAAATTTCGACTGTGAAGAAGTAAAGTTTTTCAACTTTTACTCCCCCCCTCCCCCAAAGTACCAACTAGATGAAATTTGTGATTTATAGAGTTGCTATTCGAAGGAATTGGTCCAGTATTAAAAAAGTTACAGTGTATACAGATAAAAAAAAGCCCACGTTCTGCATCGAAGCTAAAAAACAGCTATTTTCGAAATTTCTACTATAGTTGATATAATAATTCTTTGCCTTATTTGTCGCCTTGGCTATTGTACAATAAAGGTTTGTGCATTAATGTCTGCAGTTTGATTACACTTAATGAACAAGAAAATATGCGAAACGACTTGACGAATCAGCCTTTATCGTAATAAACAAGTAACAGACGGCTGATGATGTGACATTAGACACTATCTCAGTTCCGAGAATTGCAAATCGAATAGTCTATACGAATCCTATAAGCTATTTTATACAAGAAAAATACACATAAAAATAATAGTGTCATATTATAGCAGTCGGTCATGATTCCAAGCTGTTAATATATTGCACGCCTTGTTGAAAACCCGCACATTATTTAGACCACATGCCCGCAGAGTAAACACCCGTTCTTGTATTGTTTAATTAGCTTTTGTCCAGTGTGGTAATGTACCAGGTTTTATTAATTTCCAATCGATATAGGAATCAATAATCGTCGAGCACGACAAATTGCTCCTAAATCTACTTTACCTTGTGCATTATTAAAAACAAAACACGTTTTATTAACAGAAATTCAAATTATCACTAGTATTTAAATAATAAATACATTTTTAATTGAAAGAATTTAAAGAAAAAAAGCGAAAATTGTTAACATACATTTTTTATTTCAACTCTAAATAATTTTTCGTTTAAATTAAAAAGAAATAGTAATTCAAATAATTTAAAATACTTAAATTAAATTGGCTTCAACTAATTATATTCGTTATTTGGAACACTCATATTAAAATGTATTTCAATAAAATATGATTTGACGTTATAAATAATAAACGATTTCAAATAATTAGTCATTTGAAACAGTAGATAAAAACAATTGGTTTTCATTTCAAAATAAAAAATATTTGATGCGCAGAATGAAAATGTATAGGTAGACAACACATCAAGTTCAAATTATTATTTGTTATTTTAATAAAATATTGCTAAGGTTTGAATTTAATTGATATTTTTTTATATTTTATATAACAATTTTATAAAATTATGTAGCTATGCAGGCCAACTCCAAAACTTGTATTTTTTCTTGAGAAGTTTAAAAGTTTTTTTTAGTAAAAACAAAAACAATAACACTTGTCATCACGAAAATATTAAATAGCAGTTTACACGTTTGAAATTTGAAATGTTACTCGAAACAATAATTGGCTAACACTTTTAATGACCGGCCGGCAGCTAGTTATGAATAATTGCTTTTGGAGTAATTAGCATTTAAATTATTTTAAACGTATTTAAAAATAACATTACGCCGTAGGTAGTGGGCACTTAGGGGTAATGCATTTTGAAATGTCGATAATTCCAAAGTAGGTAATTATTAAAAAACTGTCAAGCGGTCATTAGCTGTTAAAGTTGATGATTTTTGTTTTAATCGGGTGCGCATTAATCATTATTTCATTTTATTTGAACTCTGGTAAACTTTCAATAAATAATTATATAAAAACCATTAAAACCAATTGAAATTCGCACAATAATGCTATAAGATATGTAAACCAAAAAAACGTTTGACATGATAGTAAAATATTTGAATTATTAAAAACATTACTACTGTTATGTTTGCTTCTGTTGTGATCTAATTTCGTGTTTCAAACAAATTAATAGGATATTATACCGTCACGAGTATTATATTTTATTGAAATTATAATATTCGTGACGACTGTTCTGTGGTTAAATTAGTGTTTTTTGGCGGAATCGTGTCGACATATGTTGTTCTTTAACTGTTATAAATTGTTTTCGTTAATATTTTATTCTTTGGTACTTAACAAAACGTAAAAAATGTAGTCTGCATTTTTATGACCACGGGTTAATTGAAATAGTGACAATAAATTAGGTGGTATACCTCTTGTCATAATAAAATACTACTAAAATATAACAGAGTAGAAAAAAAATGTCGCTATTACAAGAGATCATAAGCATAAGAACATAAAAAAGCAGTGTTTCTCATAAATTATGCACTGTGAATTAATTTATAAATTTATTATTTATTTATTTACATTAATATTGTATTATAGAGAGCGTTGACATTAAGAGGGTAACCTGATTTACAAAGCTAATATGTGTAGAATTTGTAAACATTGTGTCACGTTATGATTTATAAGATATAGGTACTATACTTTTGGAAAGTTTAAAGTTTATAATTTAGGTTTTAGTTAAAATGTTGTCGAGAAAATATTTTAATTTATACATTATAACTTTACACTATTGAGTATTGACATTTATCAAACTATACTGTATAAACTATTATAATATTTTTGTTCTGTGTGTAGTGCGATTGCAGACAAAGGTTATATTATTATACCTAGCTTCTATTTGTTTAGCTTATATGTGGTACCTACATTTAATTCTTCAGTATTTAAACAAACGTATAAGATAATACATATATATCACACACAATCAGACACACCAGAAGTTAAAACACAAAGAATAAGGAAAAACATTAATTCTAATATGCAAATATATTGGCTACAGATTAGACGCAACGGCGTTACACGTGTCTTGTTGACAACATTAATGGTCATTTAATATTATAACATAAACAACGTATTATAGTTAAATAAAAATAATTTCGCAATTATTGTGTTTAGTCACAAAGCGAAAAGCCTATATAACAGACATCTGATTATTCACTATTTAATACCGACAGTGTTAGGTAAACTCAGGTGCTCGACTTAAAATTAAACTGTTATTCCAAGTATCAAAATAAAAACAATAATTCAATTCAGTTCAATTCAATAGCAAAAAATTAATGGATAATTTGTATTCATGTATAAGCTTATTTGTAAATCGATAAATACAAAGGTACTTTATTACTTAAATCATTTTTGTTTATCGCTTCAACAAGGTAAAAACGATTCGAATAATTCCCAACTACGGTGTAAGAAATAGTACACAGCCGTTTATTTTATAAATTCAAATTTTAATTCCCGTCCAAAATTGTTAACTTATTGTTAGCTCTAAAAGTAAGTATTATACAACACCGATTATCGACCAGTCAAAATTGTCAGCAAATTATTGTCAATTAAAAAATTCAATTAAACACAATATACGTTACCATTAAATTCAAATGATTTAAATTTCAAACGTTAATAGAGCTCTGGAAAAATGATAAAAAATGTAAATATTTATGAAGTTTGTAATATTGTAAACAAAAATTATTTGAAAAAGAAACCATAACAAATTGCAATTATTTTAAGAGATATAGAGTGTCTTATTTTTAATGAATTACCCTGTATAGTACTACATAATATTATTTTGTTATTACAAACTGATTCACGTACTGTCATTTGTCTTACGCATTATATATTTATCATAACTATTATCAAAGGAAATGTCACCGTCAAGTTACGGTATTTTATAATATTATTACATTCATTTTTTAAGAACGCGAAAAAGGTCTTTCGACACACCAGAGTAGCATAATTGCATACGCACAACGCCTTATTCAGCGCTGAACGTGTTGACGACACTAACCTGATTTTGTATATGCACAATAATGTAATATGTATACACAAATACTATCGGTACCTGGTATATCCTATTATCAAGTTAATGCTTACCAGCTCAAAACCGTTAAGGTCATATTATTTCTCGAACTCGGGCTAAATTAAAATCTGAGGCGCGATTTGGATTCAGCGAAAATAGATTTTTAATCCGTGCTTGTGTTATTGTTTGAATATTTCTTCAAATGTAGTTCATTCGAATAATTTGTTCTGTAGCTGATGTATGATAAACAATATTCAGCCGGTTTCTCCAACTATTGTGTTAAATACATTCTTAACACAATGTTAGTTAACGATTCATTTAAATTTAACATCTGGTTAAATGAAATAAGTTTCACTATAACATAATTATTGTTTAATTATAATGTTTGTTAAGTTAACAAAACGTTAGTTGGTTACCAAAGCGGTTACCTCGATTCCAACGTTCTCATTGGTTATCGAGATATGTGATAATAGATATGGCATTTAATTTTACTTTCTTTTAACTTTTCGGTGTATATAAATAATTTATGTATAATTTTTTAACACATTGTTTAGATAGTCCATACCTTTCTAAAAATAGTTTGTCATCAAGGTAATTAAAATAATTTTTCTATTTTTAAGGCCTAAAAAAAAAGGTAGGTAGTGATAAGAATTATTTTCATTGTTATACGCAGGACAGGCAAGACATTATAATACTATCTAAATTACAAAATACAATAAACTATGATATTTGAATCTATAATGCAAGTCTGTGCCATTCCTTTTTACCTAATCTACCTACATAAAATAACTTCTGCTTACCTAATAAGTAATAAAGAATTATCGAAGTTGTCATTTCTATTGTTCTCTAAATACTCAATACAAAGAAATTCCTCATAAAATGTGTAATTCATTATTATATAATATAATATAATACTATTATACTCAGTCGACAATTCTGAACTATAATAAATACAATATTCTGAATATAATATTATATATATTATTTATAAGTACTATAATAAATGTTAACAAGCCGATTTCGGGTGAGTTTAACAATGTGTTAAGGCTTATAAATCTTGATGAAACCCAATTTTCACTAACTAGTTGTGAAATATAATTAACAATAAGTTAAATTCTTAAAAAAATGTTGGTGAAACCGGCTGATTATGTATTATTCACACTCTCAGTACTCTCACTCTCAGCTTTATAATATTTCTAGTAGGCAACAGAGAAGAGACATTAAGGTTTTTTTTTTAAAAATGTACGAACTGATTGATTTACTTGGTGGTTTTTTTTTCTTCTTCTTCACAGACGGGTCCCGTTATCCAAATGCCCGTCCCCAGCAGCTACAACGACGTCATGGTGGACAAGAAGATCAGAGACCACGTCGGGTTAGTGTGGTACGACAAGACGTTTTTCGTGCCGGAAACGTGGAGGCTTCAGGGCTACCGGATATGGTTGAGGTTCGGCAGCGTCCATTATGCGGCCCAAGTGGTAAATTTAAGACGTTTCCAAATCTTAACCGCAATGGAAAATCGTTCCAACCATCTGTAAGGAAATGAAAATCGCCTTTGCTTGCTTACAGTGGGTGAACACGCATTTAGTCATGAGCCACGATATCGGCCATCTGCCGTTCCAGAAAGAAGTGACGACCTACCTGAGGTTCGGACGGTCAAACAGGATAACCGTGGCCGTCAACAACGAACTCACGGCCATCACTGTGCCCCAAGGATCTTTTCAGAACTTAACCATGTGAGTACATGGGGGGGTTTACATACATTTAAGTATAACATAATCGCCGGGGAGCTGCTAGACTGGAGAAAATATTGGACAAATCTCAAAATACTGACTTGTAATTTTATACTGTTAAAATCGTTGACTTTTCGACAAACGATTTTTGCTAAAGAATAGACTCTGAAAGAGCCTCCGAATTTGTAAAAAATTATCGTTTTGTAGTATTTTTTTTTTTGAGTTGTTTACGTTTGAAAAAATGTCTAAAATTATTTTAAATAAGGTTTTTTTAAAATCTCATTTTACACGTGAAATCAAAACTTATTTCGGAATTACTGATTAATGTATAGTTGTTTTTTTTTAAGTACAAAAGAAAATTAGAAAATTCCAGATTCAGATCCAGCCAAAATTCCTACAAAATAAACACAAAATATTGAATTTAGGTCAAAATATACAGTTGTTGTTATAGAATTTTTGAACATAATATATTGGAATAAAAATAACTTTTTACTAATGTAAAAAAATATATGATATATTTTGATTTTACAGTAGTAACACAACGACCAAAGTAATTCAGCTGTATACCTTTGACTTTTTCAACTATGCCGGTATTCATAGATCGGTATTTTTGTACACTACTCCTATAGTGTACATAGACGATGTGGACATTAAGACGGATTTCACCGAGGATGGAAAAGGTATGAACTTTTCATTACATTCCCATTGTTTTATTACCTAAAATTACCGGTCTGTGTTTTTTGCCATGAAATTTAATATTTTATAAACACCATTTTTTAAATATTAAATGTCGTGCCAAAAATCTCTTTAATTTATATACTTCAATAATATCTAAATCATGTTTAACAATACTTTGAAAATATATTAAAAATTATTTGCGCCGATTTCTTCATGTAGTCTTTGTAGATGATGACAAATCTTATATTTAATGTTTTTTATTTGATCTCAAGTGGTAAATGATCAACCCTGACGGCGGGTACAGAGTGGAACATATAGGGATGAGGAGGTCACGAAATTTCAGGAATTGTTATGATTGGAGTATTAAAATTACTTTCAAGCGCTGTCGTGGAACTGTATACATAGAAAAATTGTATAAAAACATTAAAGTCATCATTAAATACCTTCTACTTTAACCACGTTTATTAATTGCAATATTTAAATTATTCTATATACTTTACCTTTATTTGAAAGTAGAAGATATCGCTTAAATATTATAGTTTAACACACAACGTGCTCGGTGTTGCCCAATAAAATATAAAATTAAGTATGTCGTTCAGCATACCAGCCAATCTACCTATTAGTAACCGTGTAGTCATAATATGTACTTTGTACAATATGTATATACGGTTATAACAATATTGTCCATTGCTCTTATGAAAACACTCAATGAAACTGTTTACATACAATATGCGACGTCGTTGGTTAATCAAACAATTACTGTGTTTTTTATTTTATTTTTTTGTATACAGTGTATGTACATATGCCTTGATTACAGCTGTTACACGTCTTGTTTTGTATGTATATCACTTTGATGTAAGAGTCATGTCTATTTTAGTTACACCTTGTACATACATATATTTTGAGCGTAAACTCTTGGGAAGACATTAGAAGTAGGTATCGTGCACCTATATATATTATTATAATACAAAATGTCTCGAGGCTTGGAGTCGATAGACAAATATGATTAGCTGCCCATATTTTGTATAAATAATAGTACATTATAATGATATGTGCACTGTAGCGTGTTGGGTTATAGTGTTATCATCTCTGCTGAGTGTCATCTGCATATTCGTATAGTAATAATATTATATTAGTTTAATTCCCATCACGATATCGTGAAGATATTTACCAGAGCACAATATGTTTTCGTGTAGTGTGTTCACTGTCTTGGGGGTTTTTTATAACTTTTAGTTTACATAATGGGTTAGTTAACAAAATCGAAATGAAAAAAATAAAAATAAACAACTTATGTTTAAGTACAAAAACTTTGTGAAAAAAAGACAGGTCTTAAAACCGAAAAATCTGGTCGGTCGGTTCATAATTAACTTTGGTGTTATTTTCTATAGGATTGATCCACTATACCGTGTCGTACGGTGGGTCGTTGAGCAGCGGCGAGACCATCAACTGTTCGGTGTCGGTGTTGAACGGCGACAACGTCCGGGATAGGTACACGGTGAGCCTGGACGATCCCGAAGGACTGTCGGGAACCGTCGAGATCGAAAACGCCAAACTGTGGTGGCCGTATCTGATGAACGACCAGCCAGGGTACATGTACACGTTGGAGGTAATCGTCGTCGCCATTGAATTTGTACACTGTATTGTTGTTGATTGATAGTACACACTACTATGATGGTCCTATGTCGCGTCCACAGATCAAACTTTCGACTACTTGGAACGTGGACGACATCTACCGGATACCCGTGGGCATCAGGACGATCAAGTGGACCAGCGATTCGTTTTTGATCAACGACAAACCGGTGTACCTGCGCGGTTTCGGCCGGCACGAGGATTCGGATGTTAGTAGAATACAAAAAAATATATATATACAGGGCGGGGCAAAAGATATGCATCGGTTTTGAAGGGCTGCAGAAAAAAGCCTATTCAATTTGGAGAAATGTAATTTATATCGTCCGATTCAGTAGACAATCTAGTTTTTTACATAAAGTTTTAAAGATTACAAACACTAAAATGGCGACCGACAGCAACGATGCACTCTTAAGAAAAGACGAAAATGGTCAAACCTGGTCACCGAGCGCCTGGTCTCTCCGAGGGGATACGTGGGGTGGTCCACTATTTTAGTGACGTTACCTTTAAAACTTGATGTAAGAAACTAGATTGTCTACTGAATCGAAAACAATACGAACCTCATTTTTCTAAGTTGAATAGTTTTTTTTTCTACAGCCCTTCAAAACCGATGCATATCTTTTGCTCCACCCTGTATTATTTTTTATACACAACAATAATACTACGTATTATACCCATTGAACACACACAATGTGTCTCGTGCGGTACGCGTGAGAATTACAAAAAAAAAAAAATAAACCGTTTACCATATCAACGGTCGAGGGAGGGCGAGGGGGTGCTGGTGGTGGTTGTAGGCTGAAGGTTATAAATTATGTAAAATATAATAATATTATTTTCACCGTGGCAGTGTTTTTTATTTTTGTTTTGTCCGTGTTGCTGCATTGTAGTTCCGAGGCAAGGGCATGGACTACGCGCTGGTCACCAGAGACTACGATCTCATCAAGTGGGTCGGAGCCAACTCTTACAGGACTTCCCACTATCCGTACGCCGAAGAGATCATGGACTTTGCCGACAAACACGGCATCATGATCGTGGACGAGTGTCCCAGCGTCGACACGGAGTGAGCGAATTGAATTTTAAATAATAATATTATAATAATATTGTCGCGTTGTACCTTAAGCATAATAGGTACATTACGTTGTAACCGCACGACGTATTATACAGAGTGATCCAACTGGCGCGAGACACCGTGTGTCATCATAAGACACCTTCGTTCGTTTGTTCTTCAAAACGGTACCACTTCTGGTTGCCGTTAAATAACAAATTATTGATCTCTATCGCTAATACTGTCACCGGTAATCAGACCGTAGGTAAAGAACCGCTTCTCCATAAATTGTAAAAAAAGTAACAATCGTTATGGTTATATGGCTATCGGTTTTATCGACCGACCACGGAGTCCAAATGCGATACCGGTTTTACATATAAGGGCTGAAGATAATAAAATGCTCAAAATATTTTATACATAAAATGAGTGTCTTACGCTAGATGGATCACCCTGTATGTATGTACACTGTACACAACAACCATTAGAGGTTGTGTCTGGGCCGTCGAGAGGAGGGCTCGTGATGAATTATTACTTTCCAGACCAGACGATATTCAAATTGAGTTGCCTCTCCCCCCCCCCATCTTTAGGCCCCAACAGCGGGGTTCACTACTACTGTGAACCGATTTGGTCTGGAAGAGGGGAATTTCGGTTTTGTAGATTTATCACCAGCTACACTGTGTAGTGACAATGGGATGGACAGATAAACAGTCGTGCAACAAAAAATAAGATTTCATTTATGAGGACGCTCATGTTAGGATTATCCGTGTAAACGACCAGTTAAAATGAATACATATCAGACTTCACATTTTTCCATTCGTTCAACTTGATCAAACTTGAGCATTTTTTATGTAATTTTTCGTTAAAATATAAATTCAAATAGGTAATTATTTGAAATAAACGTTTTTTTTAAAATAAAACTGTATTTGTATTTAAGCATAATATCTAAGTAATAATGTCAAATACATTTTTATTTGAACGGATAATAGTTAAAATAAAAAATAATTTAAATAAAAGTGTAAATACATTAGAAAAAAAAATAAATTTAATTTTGATTTGGATAGATTAATTTTAACGTAAAAGGAGTAAAAACCAAATAGCGTTAAGTTATTTTTCTAGCAAATCTAAATTTTGAATTAAGTACACAAATTTCATAAAACTACTTGGAGTATTGGATTTTTTACCAATTTTTTTAAATATTTCAACCATAAAAACAATAAATTAACTAATAAAAATAGATGTTTACAATAAATGTATGTTCATTTAAACATTCTGTCTTAAAAATGTATGTTTTGACTTAATAACTTTTGACTAAACACTAAAGACATAATAATGAAATATTAATAACAGAAATTTTATCTTATTAGTACTGACTACTTGTCTAATGGTAAAGTAAAAACTATGATTATTATTTTCCTTATTATTTTTTCAATGAAAAGAAATTAAAAACGTTTAAAATTATTGCTATGTGGTTAAGTACCAATGTCACTTTTGTAAATTATTGTTTACTACTGATTGAAAATTATTGTTTAATTTTACCTACATAATATGGTTTTTTTATGATTTTACCGCAAACGTTTCATCGGTAAGTGAAGTAATTTATAATTTATTTTATTTTATTTTTTCTCAGCAACTATTCGGACAAGCTGCTGAAGAAACACACCACCAGTCTTGCCGAGCTCATCAAAAGAGATAAAAACCGACCTAGCGTGATCATGTGGTCGATCGCGAACGAACCGCGGTCCGATCACAAGGATGCAGACATGTATTTCAAGTGAGCCAAACCCCGTGAAAATCGCCGAGTAGGCAACACAACTTACACAAATACACTATTTTTGCCAGTTATTCACCCGCGGTCGTCGTTTAGTAATTGCACAAAAAAAAAACACACTTAACAAGACGTGCATAACCGTTTGTAACAACAGTCAGGCTGATCAGTTATTGACACGTACAAGCTATACTCCGTCCCATATAAGAAAGGTAACGCGCGCAAAAACCAAAAGGCTTATGTCTCTCGTATGCGCTTGCGCAGCCAGGAGTGGCGCGTTTCGGTTTTTGCGCACTACCTTTCTCATATAGGATGGCCACCGATAAGGGAAAATCGGTTGATAAGAGATATTATAGTGATAAGAATGGCACCGATAAGGGAAAATCGGTTGATAAGAGATATTATAGTGATAAGAATAAGAACCTTGCCAGTGTATTAAACAATATTAAAAACTGGGTATTTTGAAATTCCAGGATTGCTTATGTGTAAACACCCGTGTAGTAGGATAAATAATAAAATAACTTCTAATTTATTTTAATCGTTTCCAAAGATATTGTTGACATTCGTGTTTTGCTAGTTTCGACGTGCTATTGTGACACGTTTTTTTTTTTTTTATGATTTTGTAAGTACATATTTTTTGTCAAATTATGTTATGTAGGTACGTTGTGGATTTCGTCAAGTCTAAGGATAAAACTCGACCGGTTACTGCCGCTCTGAACAAATGGTACAGCATTGACAGGGCGGTGAGTAATAATAATAATTGTCAAAGTTCATTGAACGCATTCGATAAATTTAAACTATAATATTATAATAATATGTATACGGGTCAATGTGTAAAGTCGACACAAAAATGTTCACTTATGTTTCGAATTTTCCTAAAAAAACAGTATACGTTTTCCCAATCTGTTGGCTCTCTTAGCGTATGTTTTTAGTGTACTAAAAAGTACTATTAATTATGCACAGAAAAATGCACCGAGAAGGTCAAACTGTCCACATTGTACATTGTTTATAAAAAAAGTATGCGAACTTTTAGGAAAATACTTATAACAAATGATATTGGTTGTGCTGATTTTACTCGGAGTGATCCATACGTCATATTATTATGGTCGATTACACGCATTTGTGTTTGATATATTTTATTATTTAAATAATTATGCTTATTTTTCATAAATCGTACACAGAAACGAAACACTTGATCGCTTTTCTATTACAGCATCAGCTTTCTTCGTCACTTTTAGTAGTGGAGTTTTCATTAAGTAGTTAGAAGTAATATTATATACTGTTCGTCTAACGCTAATAAGTATTAACGTCTTAGCTACACGTTACACTATACTCACACGTCTCTTGTACACATTTAATTACCAAAATACAGTTTTCTACGGACCTTCTTCTTTGTAGACTATTTATGCCTTTTATTTTTAGATCCGTAGCTACTTACGTGAAAAGCTTAGACCACACGCGGCCAATAACCTCGGCTATTGCGACAAATGTCGAAACTGACGAATTGGTGAGTGGTGGACAACCCTTCTCTTTCTGTTATTAATTAAAATTTTTTTTTTTTTAATATCTACAGCTGTTGTCTTTACCTTATCCTCTGCTTTGTAGCTTTTCGTCGTAGCCGGTTCGTCCTTAATCTCTATGTATACACAGGGGCGCAATTTCGTTTGAGAGTTTGAACATAAAAAAATATTATGAAGACAAGCTTCCCCCTCAAATTGCGCTCCTGTGTGTATACCCAATCCTAAAAAAAAAACAATCCGCCATTTTTTCTATGATTAACGGTCTTTGCAATCGAATTTAAAACATATCTACTATAATATAACATAATATTTTACATACGCTTTTTGTATTGCTTTGCCGAACTGAACGTTAATGTTTGTAGAAGGTATTGAAGGCTCACGAATACCGCCGTTTATTATGGTGTAATTGCTTGGGCTATTGTTGGCAGTATTTAATCTAATTTTCTGACAAGATAAATAATAGCGATAAGAAAAGTGATTGATAAGAATAAATCAGCATGTAAGAGATAAAATAAGAAAATTGACAGTGAGCTGATATTCTATGATTTATTATTAGACTATGGTAATCACATTACATGGCAATGAGCAGGGATGTGAGCGTGCAAGTGCATTTTCTGAAGAAAAAAAATGGATTTAAGATTTAATCCCCGTGTGTTATTCCAGATAGGCAGTCTCCGGTTTGTTTAGAACCAAAAATTGCTTACTAATTACCTCGGAAATGAATTTATCACGTCTTTGACTACCATAGTCTATAAATAAATCCGATGATAAGAGCTGATATGATAAGAAAGTGATAAGAATGCTGCGAGCTGGCCAACTAGATAATATGGTTGGTTCTAAATAACATTTAATGCTCAAACGTTGCTTTCTTTGTTACTTTACCAAATAGTATTGAGCTGATGTGCATTGTACTGTTTTTCGCACATTATTTTCTATCTGGCATCGTTCATCTACCCCAAACACTTCAATGGCTGCTTAATCGTAACACCTCATATCCTATGCGTACTCCTTCTTAATTGCATATTTTACTAGTATTTCTAAACTATATTTTCCTTTCTTTTTATGTACTATAATATCAAGGCATTCCTTTTGTTTTTTTCCCTGCACGTTTCATTAATATTCTCATGGGTTACAGTTCAAAATTCGAATAGCATACTAATTGTTATGCTTGCACGGTGCCAATACTATATAGTGCCATAACTTAATCGACACTTTTTGCAGGCCAAACACTTGGACATCATTGGTTTCAACAGGTACATCTCTTGGTACTCGAATGCGGGACACACGGAGATGATCAAGTACAATCTGGTAAACGAAGCGATCAGATGGCATGCCAAGCACAACAAGCCCGTTTTCATGACTGAATACGGTGCCGACGCCGTGGCCGGTTTGCACATGGTAACCGTTCTTATGCTGTATTCATCTTGTGCTTTAATATAATATAACATGTAGAGTGATGACACTAGCATTGGCCCGCCTTCCTATCCCTTCAATCTGACTGTGTGTGTTTTTTTTGGGGGTTTAGAGTCCGTCGTTCGTCTGGTCCGAAGAGTACCAGGTGGAACTGATGTCTGAACATTTCAAAGCGTTCGACGTGCTCAGGGCCAAAAACTTTTTCATCGGCGAAATGATTTGGAATTTTGCCGACTTCAAGACTGAACAATGTGAGTATTGATCGCACAACTTCGTCTGACCAACAGCTAATCAGGTCAAAGCAAGTCCCTGACCGGGGGGTGTATTTTTGAACTTGATCGAATGTGATTAGTGATCTAATACGTCCATTTTCGAACATCTATTAGATTAAGTATACAAAATAGTACTATTGAATTCGATCTAATGATTAGTAATCGAATAGGTAAACTAACTCTATTCAATTACTATATTAGGTTGCTCATATAGCGTAACTAATAGCATATTAGTTCAATTATTCGTTTTTTCCTTATCACAACGCATAGTGTTAAAAATCATAAAACAATTTTTTCTAGTTTTTTTTTTATAATAAATTGTTGTTTAATTTATTTTTTGCGCAAACGTATAAACTAATTATTTGGAAAATTACGGATTTATTACTTAATTTAAATTATTAAAAATATTGTGAAGTTTGAACTCGAAAGGTATGAAAATCGACGACTTCACCCCACCGAAAATGCATCGGACGGTTACTAATAGTTAATTTAAATACATATATAGAACTACTTTAGTGTAAAACAAACTAGCTCATTATGTTTTATTAAGATTTAAACGATCGTCGGTTTATTAAAAAGTATAGACTATCTAAACAGAACGTCCAAGATTTTATGATCCATCCTATTAGACGCTCTGTTATTAGTATCGACCTTAGGTTATTTCGAAATATTAAAAAAAAAACGGTTATTTTTAAAACTTTTTTTTATACTAATTTACATAACTGTAAATTGTTCATTATTATTAAATAAATATTAGTACATACATAGGTTATATTGTATGATAAAACAAAAAAAATAAGTAAATTATAACACATTTTATAAGTTCATGATAAATCTATATACATATATATATATATATATATAAATATTTTTTTTTTTTACATATAACTATTTTACTTTTTTTCAAGATAGCCATTTCATTCGGAATAATTGTAAAAAAAAAAATTGGTGAAAAAACTGTGTACTTTTACTCATTCATTAAAAAGTTATATGATTTTGAAAAATAATTTAAAAAATTTGAATTTTACTCACACCTACGTCGTCTGTTGTGGTGTCGTTTGCCGGTATCAGTGATGCCAACGTATTTAATCACTTTTACAACATTATTCAAAAACAGGGAAACGCAGGGATACAGATAAACATTTTTTTTTTTTGGAACCGATTAATTAAGAACTTCACCTCGAGGTCGACAATAACGACCATCCTTTTTTTGTGTGTGTTTCAGCTTACAGGAGAGTTGGGGGAAACAAAAAAGGCATATTCACGCGACAGCGCGAGCCAAAAGCGTCGGCTCACCTCCTGAGGAAAAGATATTGGGCGTTGGCCAACCTGTTGGACGGTGCAAAAGTTCCTGAAAACTTGAATTCCTACATAGCGTCTAACGATTGCCAAAAGCACGTTGAGCTATGATAAAAATTATATATATATTTTTTCTATCACAGGACCTATCATTTTTATTATTATATACTTATTTATTGTTTTCCTCTTATATTATAATTATTTAATTTCTATAACGTTATTGGGGGTAGTAGCAGGAAAACGACGTTACGAAAACCTCAGTCTTAGCTGGCTGAGTGAAAGTCACTTATGTGAAACTAACCTGAAGTCAGGTAAGGATTTTTCATAGCGTCCCCCCCCCACCCCTTAAAACTGTTATTTATCAAATATAGTTAGTATGCAACTTGTCTGTCGCTATTTTCTTAAATTACGGTTATAATAATAACACAGCAAATAATAAAAAAAAAAAAAAACGGTTTTGTATTTTATTTATTCCTAAAGTTAAGAATACACATTTTTAAAAATATTTTATCAATCCTTAAACATTGTTACGATCGGTGGAAGTCACCAAGTTATTACTGAAGTATCTCTGAAAAAATCTACATCAACAACAACTACTGATCAGGTATTTAAAAATTTTAATCCATATATTACATTAGGTGTACTCAATACATTTTTTTTTAATATTATATTTAATGATAAAAATAATAATATTTGATGAAAAGTTTTTGAATTAATTAGTTTTTTAATACCAACTAGATCTGAAGGGATAAATATAATTTAATATAACTGAACAACCAAAAACAAAACAAATTACATTAAACGTTTGAAAAGGTCAATTTTGCATAATCTGTTCATCTGGTGCAGACAACATATGATCAATATGAGAAAGGAATGTCCTCGTGACATCTAAGCGCAAGCCGTTGAATAAATCTTGAAGAAGGTCCAAAAAATCTTTCACGTTTTGCAGGGGGTCAATTTCGTCAGACTGAGAGTTTGCCAAATCAATTTTTTTATTAGTATTGAGTGCATTAATGATCTCATTATCATATTTTGTCAAAGTAATATGCCCAATCCCCGAGCACTCCAGCACAGAACACATGGATTCAATGTTTGTCTTTAGCTGAGATGTCGTTTTGATTATATCTCCATTTTTAGTGGCCATCTCTTCGACAGCCTTCGATAAGTAATTCACATTGGGATCGTCTTGGATTATTAACATGTGTTTGTAGTCGTCGAGTAAGGTAGTCAGTTGTGTCGCGTAACTCAATTTCTGCGTTTCGTCTGATATTTTTTCCATACACAGCAAGTGTCTGCAATACAGCTTAGTGATAATGATATTTAAAAAATGATTATGCAACGTGAAGTATGATTTGATTTTCTTATAGTGGTCTACGGTCACGTCAAACTCTGACCAAATACCGAGCCAAGATTTTTCCAATACTTGGCTCGTGCCGGTCCATTTTATGTTATCGTTAAGGAAACTCATCAATCGTGTGTCCTGAATGCTCAAAATTCGCACGAAGAGTGTTGTGGGTTCCAACGCATCGATTATCTTCACATGGCTGTACAATGTAAAACGGTTTCTGTTTACTATGGATTTTATGATTGCAGGCTTTATACACTTGCCGCAAGAACAATTGTTGTTATCGTTAAGGCAAGCGGACGTTCGCAACAAGTCGTTCTCCAGTGATCTAATAACGTTCCCGTGAGTAGTCTTTACCTTGGTTTGTTTGCTAGTGTCGGTTTCCAAGCGGTGTATATTCTCCCTCTCCAGCCAAATCTTGTACAAATAAAAGTCCCACAAAGATCCAATCGAATTGGGGTCTCTCTTGTACAACGAGATTATCGATTCGTTAACGTTATAACCACGAATTTCCGCTTTCAGGCTTGACCAATTTTTCACTTCATTAAACGCCGCAGCCGTTGCCTTCATATGCTTTATTACTTTGGAAAAGTGTCTGCATTTCACGACGGAAACTGTGAAAAAAAACCATACGGTTTGTTGCATTTTTTTCTTCATATTTGGTAAATTTATACAGGGTGTTTCAGCGTGAAAGGTAAGTAATAGGTGATTCGACATCTGGGGGACCCCCAAATAAGCCCCCCGTTTTCATTTTTTCGTTAAGTCAAAAATTGAAGGTTTCGACAATTAAGTAAAAAAATAATGACATAAAAAAACAAAAAATTATTTCCTGTTGTTCAGTGCAAAAAGCTCACCTTAAAAGAGGGGTCACATCATTTTCAGTCTTTTTCAGCCCCTAACTTTTCTCTTATCATTTATTTCTTACCTCTAGTCTCTAATCATTTATCTCTTATCACTAATATTTTATAATTTGTTTCTTATCTCTTGTTTCTAATTATTTACCTGTAATTTCTTAGCATTTATCTCTAATCTCTCAACGTTTATCTCCTATTAATTATTTTTAATCATTTATCTATCGTATATCTCTTAGCATTAATCTTTTATCACTTATCATTTACTTCTTATTTTTTTTCTTTAATCATTTTTCTCTTATAATTTTTTGAGTTAGGGGCCGAAAGGGACTGAAAATGATGTGACCCCCCTTTTAAGGTGAGCTTTTTGCACTGAACAACAGGGAATATATATTTTTTTTTAAAGTTTTTATTATATTTTAGTATTTTTTTACTTAACTGTCTGTGTATAAATAAAATGTATTTATACACAGTATCCATCTCCGTGTGATAACGCTTTTTTCGTTATTAATTTTCGTAATTACTTTTTTCGGTTATATGCCAGAGCTAAGACATGAAAATGTCAAAAACAAAGTACTTTTATAACGTGTCTATAATTGTAAGAAGTTACATACCTGATGGTGGTGGATATGCTGGCGGATCTTGGTCGACTAAACAAAATGAGGAATTAATATGATTTTACTGTGGTATAAATATTATGTAAGTTTGTGAAGAAAGTAAGTATAATCTATTCAATTAAACAACTTGTATTTATGCAATACTCCATAAATATTTACTAAGTATACATAAAAGTATTCCATCTAAGTTTTCCTCCATCGTAATAGAGATTGCATGCGGTCTGTTTTTAAGGAGTTTTAAATAGGCAATATCTAAGAATTCTCATTATTTTTTAACAATAATTTGTCTTTATAAAACAAAAAAAAATGCTAATGTTCATGTTATATCAATGGAATTTAGAAGCTCTACTATTAAAACTTTTTATAAAAAATTAAGTAAGATTTGTAGAAATATGCCAAAAATAAATAAAATAATTTTAGTGGCAATAATTTCTAGAGATAATAAAAAATAAAGCACAACATTATAACAACAATCAAACCTTCACAGTTTCACATTGAAGCTAATATGTGTATAAATTATAATTCATAAAAACATGCCAAGTAAAACGCTTCGATGCGAATCGGTAGAATGTACAAGTATTGAGTATCGTTTAAAATCAATGTAGTAGCAAAAACATTTTTATCTGTGTATTTACTTCATAGTTGGTACTTACCACATGGATATAAAAATTGGATATACTCCTCATTAAATACCCATGGCATATCCTAATAAGAATGAGAATAAAGAAAATCTCACACAACTGGTTAATGTAGTCAATCTATTGCTATTATATTATGATGCCAAAGATCAAGGCTGCTTTTATTCTAATAAAACAATTAAAATCTAGATTTTGGATCATCACACAGTGGTATGAATTACAAAAAATTAGCTTGTCTTAACTAATATTTCCCATTTCGAAAGAATAACAATTCCGATATTCCAAATGTTATGTTTATAAGATTAGTAATTTCAATTCATAAATATTATAAGTTAGGATCTGGCATACCAAGTAATTTATTTTTAACTTGGCTAAGTTATATTCTAATATAGGTTTTAAAATTTACGTTAGGTTAGTGGTACATTTTTAAAAGAATTGTAAATTACAAACTATACCTACCAATATACTCGTATATATATATACATATACAGGGTGTCATGAAAAGTTCTACCGAGCTTCAAATGAGACATCCAGGATGCTCTATGGGTACAATAAATGGTATTCATTTTTTTAAATTTTTTAATTCTTTAAAATAGAACTCGTATTTCATTAAAAAATAGTCTTACAAAAAAAAAATTTGCATATTCGAAATCAAGAGAAAAAATCTTGTTGAATTGTTGTGTAACATGATTTTTTGGTATCTGGCCACACATGCGACCACAGGGTGGCCACTGAGTGGCCAGCATGTGATCAAAATCGCCATATGGCATGCGACCCAAAATGGTTAGAATTTTATTCTCAATTCACTGGTTACCTTAAGTAATTACTAATTACATTAAATTAAAAGTTACAATATTCATTTTCAACCGAATGTTTTTTTGAAAAAATATACATATTATTTAAAAGTTTTAATTGTTGTACTAATTCTTTTAAATTTTCATGTTTTAAGTTTTTCCAGTTATGCATAGTACGTTTGTTAAACGTGTATTTTACGCATCCAACTCAATTCAGTATAATTTAAAAAATGGGTTAGATTATGAAATGTTCAAAAGATTATTTATATGAATTTATTTTTTTCAAATGATTTGTAGTTGTTTTTAGCATACTGGCGATTTCAAAATAGTGATCCCAATATGTGTTATTGGTCTCTACTGTATAAATTAATAATATTAAAAAAAAACATTATCCACCATATAAGCGGATATATAAGGACCATAGAAATGTCTTATGACCGAGTAAATGTCAATTTAAGTATACCCAAATTTCTGATTTCTGATGGTAACTTTCAGCGTCCGCAGAAATTTTATTTTCGACCACCATCCAAAATGGTAATAAAAAATTTAGTTTTGTATTTTTTGTAACATAATTATCAATAAAAACGTATCACTAGTGTCATGAATATTTATAATATGTTAAATGTATAATATTTATAGTACGTTTGCCCGCTGACTATTGTTCGGTACTTTAATTTATGAAATAACACTTTTTTAAGTCGCAAATACTTGTTTAATCATGCATCACCTTTTATTCTCGTAGAAATATTAATTATTTTTCAATATATAAAATTTGAATAGTACATCTAACAAATAAGGTGTAAAAACTTTTACAAGAATATTCAATAAAAAAAATTACTCCTAACGTATTAATTTATTTAAAAATAAAAAAGTGTATAAATGAAATCAAACAAAGCCTAATTATAGTTTGTATCTGATTGCGGAAAAAATACCGATGGTCCTACACGGAGAACACTAGAGAATAATTAGAAACAAACTTATTAATTAAAAATTACATTTTTACCAAAAAAATGATGATAATTTCTAAAATATTGAATATAAAATAATTCTAAGGTCACCACTGAATTGAGAATAAAATTATAACCCAAAATGAGGTACGCATGTCATATATTAATTTTGATCACATGCCGGCCACTCAGTGGCCACCCCGTGGACGCATGTGGGGCCAGATACCAAAAAATCACGTTACATAACAATTCAACAAGATTTTTTCTCTTGATTTCAAATTTGCAAATTTTTTTTTTTTGTTGGACAATTATTTAATGAGGTACGAGTTCTAATTTAAATAATTATAAAATTAAAAAAAAAATGAATACCATTTATTGTATGGGAACAATATAACTTTTGTTCTATTGAATATGTTCAAGATTGTTTTAAGAAAATTTTCTAATCAAAATTATCAGCAAATTATTCTTAATAAAATGACCATGTTAAGTAAAAAATAAAAATTTAAAAAGTAAAACTGTTAATAACAATAAAAATCGTTGGGCTGAGTACATTTCATTTGCGTCATCAATTTCACGATACTATTTTCGCGTTGCTGTTTCTCCTCCCATCTTCTCATCTCCCCACCCCTTTACCTCTTACCTTCCCCCCTTTCCCTTCTTACGTTCTTATTTCTAATCTCCCACTGTCCCCTCCCATTAAGCAAAGCGTCTTCTAAATACAAAACCCTACCATTACCACTCATGATTTATTGTAAAAAAAATAAGTCATTTTTTAAAAAAAAATTTTCCAGTAAATATAATAAAAGTTTTGTCCTTAGTTGATTACCGACTAATATATAGAGTAACTATATTGTTTATACTGACCGTTCGGTTGTCCTCCAACTATTTAAAAAAAATATACAAATAAAATTAATGTATTCCACCTTTAAAAGTCTCATAATAATTAATAGAAAAAATATAATTGAGTAATTTCATTTTTTACACATATTTATAGCATTTACATATATTTTATGTTGGTGCAACTTTCAGAAAAAAAAATCTTTAATTTTATTTGAAGTTTTTGGTGCCGTGTATAAATATAATTCCGTTAGTCTACTTATAGTACTATACTGCATCACAATAGAAGTGTACCGGGTGATTGGTTAACTATGACCGAGTCAATAGCTTAGAAGATATTAGACTTTTTTTTTACTTTTATAGTTACTAGTTGGTACAAATTTAATATATTTCTGTTAAAGTTTAAAATTTAAGACGGAAGAAAGTGTGGAGAGTAAAAATATTTTTATCTGACTCAACCGGGTCGTTAATTGCTTATCGTTAATTACCTTGACCTGGACGACCTTGTGTGACTAAAATACATGAATAATAAGATTAGTTGTCGATATACATAAATTCATTACCGATTACAAAAGTCGATGAGGAAATTATATATTATAAATTCAAGAAATTAACTTTTTCCAATACTATAATATTATTATGTCATTTCAAATAACTGAGCCACAACTATAGGTAGTATACTATTGTTAATTTAAAAAAAAAAAGTATTGTAAAAAAAAATTCTAAAATTACCCAGCGAAATTTCCATGATGATAGCAGCTATAAACAAAATGGTGATATTTTTCATCTTGTAATAATGAACGAATGAATGTTTCTGATTCTAAATAACACCGTTAAGTTTTACCTACAATAGACAACTGAGTAACGTCCAGAAAAAACTCTATCTGAACAGTATAATACAAATTATTTAGCGGCTTTGTGGAAACGGTTTTACTTAAGCATGACGCAAAATATCGCGATTTATTTGATAAATTACAAAAAAAAAATGATACATTGGCAAAGTAAACACTGACAACGTAAACAATTCGCCAGCAATAACAACCTTTTGGTTAACGTTGCGACCTGTTAAATGCCTAATACCAAGTTGTTTTCAGTATGCCTGAAATTCAACACCGCAAAAAAATTTTGCGTCATCGCTTGTTATTGTTCTCGGGATTCCGAAACGTGCATTTAACTCAGACATTTTTGTAATGACTGTTTCTGCTATCATCGCATCTTTTGGAAATACTTCTGGCCATTTTGTTGTTGTATCAACATTAATTAAAAATGTTTTATTTTGATATGGGCCTAAAAAATCTATATGTATGTTAGTCCATTGCCTTTGGGGCCATTTCCGAGGCGTTATGACTGCCTTAGGTGGATTTGGTTTAGCATTTAAACATTCGTTGCAGTTACGTGCGATGTCTTCAATTTCTTTATCTAACGGGGACCACCAAAAATATGACTTTGCTAAGCTTTTCATACTTGACATGCCTATATGGCATGAATGCAGTTCCGTTAAAATAGAATTTCGAAATTGTTGAGGTACACGTTAGCCCCATAAAAGACATCCTTGTTCTATTGTTATTCTACTTAGCGTGAATTAAACGATTTTAATTCCGAATTTGATGAAAAACCGTCACCCCATTCATTGGTTTTCACAGCATTTAGAACTCTAGACAAAATTAGATCTCTGTTTGTACCTATTTTTATGTTTGACCTAATTATGGGAAATGGGGATTCCTCATAAATAAAATTAATGTGAGTACTTTCTTCAATATCATCATCCGTATGACTTTGGCCAGATTTTATTCGAGATAAATAATCAGCCCCGTTATTTTCAGATTTGAAGTATTTCAAAATCAAAAGATGATAAAACAAGTGCCTATCTTTGTATACTATTAGCCGCGTATATCGGAATGCCTTTTTTATCACCAAAAATATATTAATGGTTTGTAATCCGTTTCCAATAGAGATTTCTTACCATATTGTAATCATAAAATTTTGTAATTCCGAAAATAATAGCTAACCCTTCTTTTTCGATTTGTGGAAATTTGCATTCTGTATAGGTCTTTCAGTATTATCTGGGTATACATGTGAAATAATTGCGCCTAAAGCATGACATGATGAATTTACAATAAGCTTCAGAGGAAGTTTGTGGTCATAATGTGCTAACACGGGTTTAGATGTAAAAATTTCCTTAATTTTTTTATACGCTTTGTCACAATTTGGTGACCAATGCCATTTAATATCCTTACGTAGAAGCAAATAAAGTGGTTTTTAAATATCTGCTGCGTTAGCTATAGATTTATTATAATATGTTACCATACCTATAAACGATTTCAGCATTGTTTTATTTTCTGAAATTTGAGCTGAAGAATTAGCGTCAGTGTGTTTTGACAATGTGTGTAAGGCGAAAGCCTTACTCATCAATTTTATGACCTAGATATTCAATTGCTTTTATGTGAAAACAACATTTATTTCTTTTAACTCTTAAACCAGTTTCTGAAAGAACATTATATATATATATATATATTTTATTGCTCTATCGTATTACCCGCAATTACATCATCTTGAAATACACCTAACCCTTCTAAATTAGCAGTGGCAAGCTCAATAGCTTTCTGAAATTCACCTACTGAATTTTTTATACCAAATGAATTTCGTGTGTAACTGAATAAACCTTTGTGCGTGTTAATGGTAGTATATTTTCGATCAGGGGAAAACCAGAGATGTTCTAAATTTGGTCTATCCAACGCATTGGTGTTCTACCACGGCTCCTTTTCGCTTCTATTTTTCTTTCGACCATCAGATTCTCCAGACACGATTCATCCCTTGTTATGGTGTGGCCAAAGAACCTTAGAATCCTCTGTTTACACACCACTGCCAGTCTTGTTTCCACATTTAGCATGGCCAGAATTTAGAAGTTGGTCCTCCTTTCCATCCAAGAGATTCTCAGCATCTGTCTGTAGGCCCACATCTCAAAGGCGTTTATGCGTTTTACGTCTTCCACTTTGAGTGTCCATGTTTCAGATTTATAAAGCATCACTGAGAAGGTAAGCGCCTTAAGCGGCCGCAACTTGGTGTTCCTGGAGATATGGCAGTCCTTCAAAATTGGTATTAGCCTGCTGACTGCTTCCCTCCCAAGAATAACACGACGCCTAGTTTCTCTGGATGATCCGCCATCTGCTTGTACTATTGAACCTAAATATGTAAACTCATCCACTTTCTGGTAGCCGTTTAATACAGTGGTGGGTGGTATAATACTCCTGCTCGATCTATAACCATAACCTTGGTCTTGCTCCTGTTAATTGTCAGTCCATACTTGTTGCTTGCTTCTTCAACAAGTTTTAGTAATTGGCTCATCTCCGGCTCAAGTTTGGTACATAACGTGGTGTCATCCGCGAACCACAAATTATTGATCTTCCTACCTTCAATAAACACTCCACCGTTCCATTCCTGGAGTGCCTCTCTTAACACTGCTTCACTGTAGATGTTAAAGAGGATAGGTGATAGAATGCAGCCTTGTCGAACACCTTTGGTAGGTTGAAACTGATCTGAATATGCATCCTCTGCTCTTTCTACTGCCCTTGACCCAGCGTATAGGTTTCTGATTAAGTGGATGATATGATCAGGGACTCCCATATCTGCCATGACCGTCCATAGTTTCCTCCACTGAACACAGTCAAAAGCTTTCTTATAGTCAATGAAGCACATGACCAATGGTTAATTGAATTCTCTACTCTTCTCTATGAGCTGGCGTATGTTCAAAATTTGTTCACGTGTTCCTCTACCTTTGACAAATCCAGTTTGTTCTGGCGGTATCTGACTGTCTACGTAATACTTTAGTCATGCATGGATGACATTCAGTAGGACTTTGGAGGTATTAACACAATTAGATTAATATAAATAATAATATTCGCTGATCTTTATTATGAAACCCAAATTACACGAATGACATGTTGTGCCAGTGTAGCACTCGCGTATGGTATGGTGGACATTCCCACCATATAATATTTATATGAACTGCTAATACGTAACAAAAAACAAAATTCCACAATTAAAAAAACCCCAAAATAAATTACAAATACATACTTGAAGTACTGAAATATAATAACGTATTCTTCCTTAATACAGTCTTTTTATATTTTCAAAATCTATTTTTTTAAATTCCCTTAATACCAAGAATTTTTTTCTTTCATAAGAAATCTTAAGGAATTGCATAAATTGCATGATTGTATAAATTGAGGGAATTGCATGCGGTTGGTTTTTAAGGAGTATTGTATAGGCAATATTTAAGAAAAAAATGGTTTTAATAAACTTCGATCATGTCAATTAATTTACCGGTTAATTTGTATTAGCTTCATGGTATTATTTTTAATTTGTATTATTTTGTCCATGAATAAAAACCACTTTAGTTAATATAACATACATTTTTTGTTCCATTGTACAGGCTGAACCAGTAATCCGATGTAATCTGTAAACATATTTTAATTCGTCATGAAGTATCTTATGATCGGTCAGAGTACTTTTTTGGTATCTTATTCCTACTATGTATAAAACACGTTTGAACATTATATAAAATTTCAAATTTTAAAATCAAATTTGGAAAGGGTTAAAATTAAAAATTTGAAAAAAGTGCCCTGACCTATCATAAGTAAACTTCATGGCAAACTAAAATCTGTTATTAGATTGCTTATTGGATCACTGGTTCGGTCTGTGCAATAGAATAAAAATGATGTTTTGACTGAAAAAACCGACCGCATGCAATCCCCTCAATACAATCATGAATCTTGCTTTTAATATAATAAGAAGTTACTATTCACCAATATATTTATATATATACTATATGTATATTTTATTTTATTAAATTCATTTTTTTGTTTATCACGTTAAAATGAAATAATAATGTTACGTTATTATTATTTTTGATTTTTCATTATTAATATTATTATGATTTTTTTATGCTTTTGTGGATTAATTTATATTATTTTATTATGTTTGGTGTATTAACAATGTTTGTTATTTTAGCTTCGACGTGGAGTTGAGAAGGTATTAAATTTACAATGATGTGATTTTTTTCTTGTCTGATTTCAAAATATATTTTAAACTGCTGAACCGGTTTCTTCGTGTAGCAATTCTATAGATCAAAAATCTTACCTAAAAGTTACTTTAATGGACCAACAATTTTAATAAAGTGACCCCTCCCTCTTCTAAATCGAGAGAAGCACCCAAACAATTTACATATTTTCCAAGCGTGCCTCAGCCAATTACAATAATTATCTTTTAATTCCTCCTCCAGTCAATTTACCTTTAACGACACACAATTTATTATTATGTATACACAAGGATATTATATAATATATATTTTTATTTTTATTTAAAACAAAACCACTCATAAAATTATAATATTTAGTTTAAACACTCATATTGATAACGTGGTGGGCAACAAATCTTTTAGAATAATTTTTTCAGACAAAATGAGCAGTGATTAAACACACCGGCTAGCTTTTTAAAAATTTAAGTCGACTAGTGTTTCATACGCTTCAAGATTACTGACATTTGACGGTCATGGTGTTATGGATATGTTTGATACACCTCAATTATTCCATTAACATCTTATTGTCAGAAACACAGCACTCAATGCGTGCTCAGCCAATCACAATAACATATAATAATTTACTTCCTCCAGTCAATCTTTCTTTAACGATAAATCATTTTTTTATTAAGCGTACAAAAATGGGTAGAACCAATGAGAATCAAGACATTTTAAATTTGCAAGAAAGTAAGTTTATTGTGATTTAACGAAAATATATTGAGGTTAGTGGAAAAGTAAACACAATTTAATGACCACTATTCTGTATTTAAAATAAAACTGGATTATTTTTGGCTCCTTTGGATCCGCCCTGTAATTAAAAAAAAAACATCATCATCATTTGTTACTCAAATATAAATTACTATTATATGTATTCAGAGAAATTGTTTTAACATTAGACACTTGTATAATAACTACAAATATATAGTTTTTTCTTTTTGAAAAATGTGTATATATTCAGTATAGTATTATAAACAGCTAATGAAATATTTTCATTTTAGCTTCGATGCAGGAGAAAGTATTGTTTTTACAATGCCGCGCTTTTATTTTTGTGTCTGCATAATATCATTTAAACCGCTATCTTTGTGTAGTAATTTTATGTATTAAAAGTCGTACCTATAAGGTATTTTATTGGGACAAACATTTAAAATGCTTACGTCTTCTCCTTCAAAATTGAACAACACTCAAACAAAATAGATTTTTTAACGTTTATTGGTACTAATTTAATTATTTTAGTTGGAATTTTTCTCGATTTTGAAGGGGAAGGGGTGAACTTTTTAAATTTTTGCAACTTTTATTAACATTTCGATAATTAGTAGTTAGTTGTTAATTACCAGCTGGCTATTCCCGCTGTTGATAACCTAAATATAAAGAATAAAGTTAAAATTAATGTGAATTCATACTTGCGTATTTAGGTTAGTGAATTCATTATGTACAACGCATCCAAGTGATCAATTACAATCAAAGTGAGTGTGAAGACAATAAGTAAATATAATTTAATAAATCAACTTCTACCTATACAATACTCTAGAAAAGTTTACTAAGTACGCATAAAAATGTACTTAATTTCAAACTTTTATTTAAAATGTTTAAAAAAAAACAAAATTATTATATAAAGAGCCTTTAATTGTTAGATGTCACTTACCTGGTGGTGGATATTGACCTAAACGTAAAGAGTAAAATAAAAAATCAATTTTATTTCATAGTTGCATATATTTTATGTAAGTGTGTGAAGTCAATCAGTAAAAATAATTAACATAAAAGTTAACTAAGTACACATACAAATTTTCTACAATTCAAACTTGTTTATAAAAAGTAACAAAGTAATTTTATAACTGTCCTATAATTGCTAGATAATACTTACCCGGTTGTTGATATGGTGGCACATTTGTTAGGCCACCTAAACGTTAAGAACAAAAAAATGAATCAATTTGATTTCATTGTTGCATATATATTATGTTAGTAAATAAAGAAAATAAGTATAATAAATGTAATTTATTATAAAAACTTCTATCTGTGTGAAGAAATAAAGTATAGTATATTTACCTTGGGGGGGATACATTAGTCCACCAGGTGGGACTAAATTTAAAAAAACTAAATTAGTTCTCACTATGAATTTATACCCTAATACATAATATAGATAAATAGTCGATTTTTATTTAATAAACTTGAGATTGAAGAAACTAATAAAAATGAGAGTCAACTATTTAACATCTACAAATAATAAGTAAATTTTTGAAAAAATGATAAAAGTTGGTTAAAAAAAAACATTTAATTTAATTTTAAAAAAAAATGTACAATTCAAACTTATAAAGAAAATGTATAAAAAAAACAAGAAAATATGTATATATTTCTTTTAATTGCTAGATGATACTTACCTTGTGGAGGATATGGACCTAAACGTAAAGAATAAAATAAGGAATCAATATGATTTTATAGTTACATACATATTATGTTAATGTGTGAAGTCAATGAATAAAAATAATTAAATGTATCAACTAAACTAAACTAAACTATTAACATGTTAATGTGTGAAGAAATAAAAATAATAAGTAAATTTTTGAAAAAGTGATAAAAATAGGTTAAAAATAAATTAAATTTGATAAAAATAAAAATTCTTCAATTCAAACTTATTAAAAAAATGTATAAAAAACAAGAAAAATGTTATATAGTTCCTTTAATTGCTAGATGTTAATTACCTTGTGAAGGATATAGACCTAAACGTAAAAAATAAAATAAGGAATTAATTTTATTTCATTGTTATACATTATATGTTTTTGAATAAAGAAATGAAGTATAATAAATGTAATTTATCAATTTCTATCTATACAATACACCATAAAAGTTTACTAAGTGTTCATAAAAGTACTCTATTTAAGTTGTCCTTCGGCGTAGTAAAAACGTTTAACAATTCAAACTTTTATACAAAATATACAAAAATCAACTTATGTTTTACAACGTGCCTTTAATTACTGGATGATACTTACCTTGGGGGGGATGAATTGGTACACCGAATGCGACTAAATTTAAGAAAACAAATGAGTTATCAATATGAATTTATACTCTAATACATAATATAGTAAATTTTTGAAAAAGTGATAAAAGTTGGTTAAATAAAACATTTAATTTGATAAAAAAAAAAAATCTACAATACAAACTCATAAAGAAAATGTATAAAAAAAACAAGAAAATATGTATACCTATAGATTCTTTATTTACTTACCTTGTGGTGGATATGGACCTAAACGTAAATAATAAAATAATGAATCAATATGATTTTATAGTCACATATATATTGTGTAAGTGTGTGAAGAAATAAAGTATAGTATACTTACCTTGGGGAGGATACATTGGTCCACCAGTTGGGACTAAATTTAAAAAAACTAAATTAGTTCTTACTATGAAATTATACCCATATACATATTATATATAAATAGTCTATTTTTAATTAATCAACTTGAGATTGAAGAATTTAATAAAAATGAGGGACAACTATTTAACAAGCCAATGAGTGAAAAAAATTGAATTAATCAACTTGTATTTATTTAATGCTCCATAAAGTTTACTAAGTATGCATAAAAATGTACTTCAATTTAAACTTAATTCAAAATGTATAAAAAAAAACAAAGTAATTTTATAACGGGCCTACAATTATTGCTAGATGATACTGACCTTGTGGTTGATTTGCCGCCGAACTTGATGCACCACCTTAACGTTAAGAACAAAATAAGGAATCAATTTGACTTCATTTTTGCACAAATATTAATAAATATAATTCATCAACTTCTATATATACAATATTCTATGAAAGTTTACTAAGTATACATAAAAAGTACTTAATTTAAGTTGTTCTCCGTCGTAATAAAGGTTCTACTTAATGAATTATTTGATCTCTTCAGAAAAAAATGTTCTACAATTCAAACTTTTACAAAAAATTGTATAAAAAACAAACTAATTTTATAATGTAAGTGAGTAAAGAAAATAAGTATAATAAATTTAATTAAAAAACTTCTATCTAAAATGTCTATCCCGGGTATTTAATTATATAAAACCCCAACGTTTACCGTTTGGTTTATAAAACCAAAGTTTTGAGGGCATTCATAGAATATCAACCAAGTGGGAAAAGACCAAAAGGTAAAACAAAGGAAACAAATTTTTTTTTTTTGAGTGAGAAATGCTTATGTTCAATAATACATGTTTTATACACTTAATGGAATATTTTATCTCTTCAGAACAAAAATGTATACAAAGTGTATAAAAAAACCAAGTAATTTTATAATGTGCCTATAATTGTAAAATACTTACCTGGTGGTGGTGCATATGCTTGAGAAACTTGGTCGGCTAAATATAAAGAACAAAATAAGGAATCAATATGATTTCATAGTCGCATACATATTATGTAAGTGAGTGAAGAAAATATGTAAAAATAATTTAATTAACCAACTTCTATCTATACAATACTCTATACAATTTTATTAAGGACACATACAAATGTTCTACACTTCAAAAATTTTAAACAAAAAGAAACAAATTAATTTTATAAATTGCCTATAATTCAATCGCTTTATGTAAAAAGGGCCTTAGTCCTTAACTATAAACTTTTGGAAAAATTAAAATAGCGTTTGATATGTTTCAAAATGCATAAACATATTAGGGCTTTATCAAAGTTAATAGACAATAAACAGTAAAATTACATTCTGTAAAAAATATTATTTTCAAATGCTATCCAGATTATTAGCATTTAAGTATAGAGGACTTAAAATGAAAAAAATGTAATGTTGATTAAAATAAAATCAACATTACTTAATTTCTTGATTGCCATAAACGAGCTACACAGAGTTCCTCCAATAATTTGTCCCGCTTTGTAGGCCAACTGTTCCAGAGCTACACAAACATTTGATAAATTAGAACATTAGGTATATAATAATTTAAAAGTATACTTGAAATTAAGAATTGTGTAATTCTAACTGCTATATAATACTTACGACCCGATTGTTGAGCTGGTACCAAATTGGATAGACTACCTAAACGTTAAAACAAAATAAGGAATCAATTTGACTTCATTGTTGCATATATGTTATGCTAGTGAATAAAGAAAATAAATATAATAAAATATGTTATTTATCAACTTCTATTTGTACAATACTCTATGAAAGTTTACTAAGTATGCATAAAAAGTACTCCATTTTAGTTGTCCTCCGTCGTAATAAGGTTCTGCTTAATGAAATCTACTAAGTTTTATGACGTGCTTTTAATATTACTGGGTAAAACTTACCTTGGGGGGGATACATCACTGGTACACCAGGTACGACTAAATTTAAGAAACAAAATTAGTTATCAGTATGAATTTTTACTCTAATACATAATATAGATAAATAGTGGATTCTCAATTAATAAACTTGAGATTGAAGAAACTAACAAAAATGAGGTACAGCTATTTAACATCTAAAAATAAAAGTAAATATTTGAAAAAAAAAAAAACATTTAATTTGATAAAAAAAAATATTAATATTTTCTTATAAAGAAAATGTATAAAAAATATGTATATAGTTCCTTTAATTGCTAGATGTTACTTACCTTGTGGAGGATATGGACCTAAACGTAAAGAATAAAATAAGGAATCAATTTGATTTCATTTAGGTTGTGAATTATTGGACCTACAGCGTTCTGGTAGGGCTTGAATGAAAGAGCAAGTTTCCAATGACTGCCACTAGACGTCTCTCTACGTGCCGCCTTCATTGTTTAGTTTCTTAAGATGGTGTCCTCACAAGAGAAGTAATCGAGTTCGCGAAGCGTAATTTAGTTACGGCTATGAAACAAGGGTTGCATCAATTTTAGAGAAAACGAGAGAGAATATGTTGAGATGGTCTGGTCATGTTACGAGAGGAGATGATGCAGAGGCAATGATGGGCGTTATGAAGATGATTGTAGAGGAAAAGAGGGGAAGAAGAAGACCGAAGTAAAGATGGATAGGTGTAGAACTAAGACGGCCGACCCCATGTATTCGGGTGTGTAAGAGATATCTAGTGGCAGTCATTCGAAATATGACAACTCTTCTTTCATTTAGGTCTTACAAGAGCGCTGTAGGTCCAATACTTCACAACCTGTATTCTGTTAGTGAATAAAGAAAATAAGTATAATAAAATATATAATTTAATAACTTCTATCTATACAATTCACCATAAAAGTTTACTAAGTGTACATTAAAGTACTCCATTTTAGTTTTCCCCATCGTAGTAAAAATGTTCAACAATTCAAACTTTTATACAAAATGTACAAAATTCTACATAAGTTTTATGACGTGCCTTAAATTATAACTATGTGATATTTACCTTCTGGGTACATTGGTACACCAATTGCGACTTAATTTATGAAACAAAATTAGTTATCAGTATGAATTTATTCTCTAATACAAAATATACATAAATAGTCGATTCTTATTTAATAAACTTGAGATTAAAATAATAAAATAATAAGTAAATTTAAAAAAAAGTGATAAAAGTTGGTTAAAAAAAAATTTAATTTGAAAAAAAAAATTCTACAATCCAAACTTATAAATAAAATGTATAAAAAAAACAAGAAAATATGTACACATTTCCTTTATTTGCTTACCATGTGGTGGATATGGACCTAAACGTAAAGAATAAAATAAGGAATCAATTTTATTTCATAGTTGTTTATTTTTTATGTAAGTGTGTGAAGCCAATGAGTAAAAATAATTTAATTAATCAACTACTATTTATACAATACTCTATAAAAGTTTACTAAGTACACATAAAAATGTTCTAAAAATATTTTAAAAGTTCAAACTTTTTTACATAATGTATGAAAAAGCAAAGTTATTTTGTAAAAAGCCTTTAATTGCTAGATGTTACTAACCTTGTGGTGGATTTGAACCTAAACGTAAAGAATAAAATAAGGAATAAGATTTATTTCATAGCTGCATATTTTTTATGTAAGTGTGTGAAGCCAATGAGTAAAAATAAATAAATTAATCAACTTGTATTTATGCAATACTCCATAAATGTTTATAATAAGTACGCACAAAAATGTACTTCATTTCAAACTTTTATTTGAAATATATAAAAAAAGTAATTTTATAACGGGCCTACAATTGCTAGATGATACTTACCTTGTGGTGAATATTCCGCCGAACTTAATGCACCACCATTAACGTTAAGAAACAAATAAGGAATAAATATGATTTCGTAGTCGCATACATAGATGTTTGAAATGAATATAATAAACTATAAGGTGTTCAAGAAGTAAGATTTTATCAATACATTAAACTAGATAAAAAGATCATTAAACTAGATAAATAGTTGATCTTAAGGTAATCAACTTGAGATCCATAAAACAAAAAACGAGGTACAACTATTTATTTAACCCCAAAATAATAAGTAAATGATTGAAAAAGTAAATAGAAATTTATCAGAAAAAATAAAAAATGCTCATTTAATATCACATTATTTTTTAACAATATTTAACACATGTTTTATCTACTTAATGGAATATTTTATCTCTTTAAAACAAAAATGTATACAAAGTGTATACAAATAAAGAGTCTGCTACCACGAAAGAGAATTTTCATGTCTCGTTGAAGTACCGAATAAATTTAGAGTACTTAATGGTGGAGTTATAGATAATGAAATAGTGTGTTAAGAAGCAGTAACATGCTAGTATATTAAAACATCAAGTTTCTGGCTAATATTGTAGTGTTTAATATCTGGCTTAAAACAATTATTTTACCACTACCCTCATCCCCACCCCCAAGTCCAACCCTACTCCCACCCTTATCCTCACACTATTCCCACCCCCAACCCCATCTTCGTGTGATAACGCTTTTTTCGTTATTAATTTTCGTAATTACTTTTTTCGGTTATGTGCCAGAGCTAAGACATGAAAATGTCAAAAACAAAGTACTTTTATAACGTGTCTATAATTGTAAGAAGCTACATACCTGGTGGTGGTGGATATGCTGGCGGATATTCGTCGACTAAACAAAATGAGGAATTAATATGATTTTACTGTGGTATAAATATTACGTAAGTTTGTGAAGAAAGTAAGTATAATCTATTTAATTAAACAACTTGTTTTTATGCAATACTCCATAAATATTTACTAAGTATAAATAGAAGTATTCCATCTAAGTTTTCCTCTATCGTAATAGAGATTGCATGCGGTCTGTTTTTAAGGAGTTTTACATAGGCAATATCTAAGAATTCTCATTATTTTTTAACAATAATTTGTCTTTATAAAGTAAGTAAAAAATGTTAATGCTCATGTTTATATCAATGGAATTTAAAAGCTCTACAATTTAAACTTTTTATAAAAATCTAAGTAAAATTTGTAGAAATATGTCAAAAAAAAAAAAATAATTTTAGTGGCAATAATTTTTAGTGATAATAAAAAATAAAGCACAACATTATAAGAACAATCAAACCTTCACAGTTTCATATTGAAGCTAATATGTGTATAAATTATAATTCAGAAAAACATGCCAATTAAAACTCTTCGATGCGAATCAGTAGAGTGTACAAGTATTGAGTATCGTTTAAAATCAATGTAGTAGCAAAAACATTTTTATCTGTGTATTTAATAAATAGTTGATACTTACTACGTGGATATATCGATCCTTGTGGCATAAAAAAAATTAGTTATTAATATCACTTATATCAGCATATATTATAAGATAATAAAAATTGGATATGCTCCTCATTAAATATCCATGGTATATCCTAATAAGAATGAGAATAAAGAAAATCTCACACAACGGGTTAATGTAGTGGCAGCTTCTATTCTAATAAAACAATTACAATCTAGATATTGGATCATCACACAGTGGTATGAATTACAAATAATTAGCTTGTCTTAACTAATATCTCCCAATTCGAAAGAATAAAAATTCCGATATTCCAAATGTTATGTTTATAAGATCAGTAATTTCAATTCAAAAATATTATAAGTTAAGATCTGACATATCAAATTATTCGTTTTTAACGTCGCTAAGTTTAATTCTATTTTAGGTTAGTAAATTACAAACTATACCTACCAATATACTCGTTTATATATATATACACAAAGTGTAAAGTACAGTTTACCGAGCTTCAAATGAGACATCCAGGATGCTCTATGGGTACAATAAATGGTATTCATTTTTTTAAAATTTTGAAATTCTTTAAAATAGAACTTGTATTTCATTAAAAAATCGTCTTACAAAAAAAAGATTTTCAGATTTGAAATCAAGAGGAAAAATCTTGTTTAATTAATATGTAACATGATTTTTTGGTATCTGGCCACACATTTGTCCACAGGATAGCCACTGAGTGGCCGGCATGGGACAAAAACTAACATATGGCACGTGACATATCATTTAATATAAAATAATTTTAGTGACACCACTGAATTGAGAATAAAATTCTAACTTAAAATGATGTGTCACATGCCAAATGTTGGTGTTGGTCACATGCCGGCCACTTAGTGGCCACTCGGTGGACGCAAATGTGGCCAGATACTAAAAAATCATGTTACATATTAACTCAACAAGATTTTTTCTCCAGATTTCAAATCTGAAAATCTTTTTTTCGGAAGACAATTTTTTAATGAGATACGAGTTCTATTTTAAAGAATTTGAAAATTTGAAAAAAAAGAATACCATTTATTGTACTCTTAGAGCATCCTAAATGTTTTATTTGAAGCTCGGTAGAACTTTACTTTACACTATGTATTTATATACAATCTCTCTCTCTCTCTCTCTCTCTACACCGTTTCACAATGCTATGACAAATGAAATAACTTTTGTTCTAGTGAATATGTTCAAGATTGTTTAAAGAAAATTTGCTATCGACTAATCAAAATTATCAGATATTTATTCTTAATAAAATGACCATATTAAATAAAAATAAAAATAAATTTAAAAAAGCAAAACTGTTAATAACAATAAGAACCGTAGGGCTGAGTACACATATTTCATTTGCGTCATAAGTTTCACGATACTATTTTCGCATTGTTGTTTCCCCTCCTATCTTCTCCTCTCCCCTCCCATTTACCGTTTACCTTCCCCCCTTCCCCTCCTTACGTTCTCTTTTCTAATCTTCCACTGTCCCCTCCCATTAAGCAAAGAGTCTTCTAAATCCAAAAACCAACCATTTCCACCAATGATATATAGTAGAAAAAATAAGTAATTTTTTACCAGTAAATCAAATGAAAAGTTTTGTCCTTAATTGATTACCGAATTATACATAAAGTATTTATATTGTTTATACTGACCGCCCGGTGGTCCTCCTCCAACTATTTAAATAAATTATACAAATTAAATTAATGTTTGCCACATTTAAAGTGTTATAATAACGTATAGAAAAATAACAATTGAATAGTTTTCATTTTTTACACATATTTATAGCATTTACATATATTTTATGTTGGTGCAACTTTCGGAAAAAAAAATCTTTAATTTTATTTTAAGTTTTTGATGCCGTGTATAAATATAATTTCTAACTCATCCGTTAGTCTACTTATAATACAAAACTACATCAAGACAGAAGTGTACCGGGTGATTGGTTAACTATGACCGAGTCAATAGCTCAGAAGATATT